GGCAGAGATGCCTTATCTTCCCAAAGTAGAATCTTTTATCTCTGGAGTGGGAGGGAGCGCAGAGTAGGAATTTCCCCCAATTTTTCACTGTATTTGTTTTCACTCTGAAGATGTAGTGCCAGTATCATGTGTACTGCTTGAATGACACGAGCCTTTTGTAATGTTACAGACTTCATCCTGTGAAGCCAATGAATACCACAGCAAATAAGTCCCAAAGCAAAGACCTGAACGTCATCAGCACTATGAATGAGAAGCTGCTTGAGATGAACATGAAGGTAGGGTGGAGAGAAGCACTTCAAACTCAACTCCCATACATTGCTTAGGATCGTGTCTCCTGTTGTGTATCCCATGAGAAGAACTGTGCTTGTGCTCAGACCATGGGGAATGTGCTATTTCCTTTTGCCCTTCCTCAGAGGTGGTGGCATTCTTTATTATTTTCTTGCAACTCATCAATAATAGCATCAGAGCTTCCTGTCTGTGCAGGGGTTTCTGAGTGGAGGAGATGGAAGGCTGCTGCCTGACTGCCCAGAGGTGAGCAGGAACATTCAGAGCTGCAGCTGAGTGACACTGCTGTGCTGCCCTGGTGCCTGGTCCTGCTTGTGACATGCAGGAGCTGCATAACTTGGATCAGCAGGAAAGATTGGACAAATTAGTCACTGTTGATATGCAAACGTGATTAGTCTGCAAAGCTTCTTTTTGCCCTGAAGTAAGTTTGTGGATCTTAAAGATAGGGAAAAGGTATCCTGGGGTGGCTGCTGCCTTGTAATGTGTTGTATTAATATCCTCTGCTTCCTAAAAGCGTCGCTTTGCAGCTTGTATAACCACTCAGATTTAATGAGTGGGTTATTTTTTTGATAATCTTGGTCTTGAGAGACCTCTAAAGCTAATCCTGCAGTGCCTCCTTCTGGGACAAATGGAAAAGAAGAAAGTTTTATTTAAATGGTATAAACTATCACATTGAAATATCTGTTGAGTTTAAGAGTTAAAGGCAGAGTTTTCAAAGTGTGTTGTGCTGTGTGTTTGTGGTGGTAATCTAAAGAAGAGTGAAATGCCTAAGGCCTACGTTAGGGTTTGTGGGGTCAAATTCAACCTGAATTTGACCTCCCAGGTCTTCAGCATATTTCAGGTCTGTGCAGTCATAAAGTTTTAATGAGCAGCATTCCAAGATGCCATTTAGATTGGATGTACCTCTACAAAGGTGGGAAGCATGGTAATACTGCTGAAAAGCAGCTTTGTGTTGGCAGATGGACGTGTAAAGCAGTTCCTTGCTGCCTGAACTCCAAACCATCTCCCAGAGAGCATTCAGTTCTTGTCTGCAGTGCCCTTGTGTGAGATGACCCTGCCTTTCTTTTGCAGAAATACAATCCTTCGGATCCTGCCTATGCTTATGCTCAGCTCACACATGATGAGCTGATCCAGCTGGTCCTGAAACAGAGGGATACAATCACCAAGAAGGATCTCCAGGTGCGTGAGCTTGAAGACTACATCGATAACTTGCTTGTCAGAGTCATGGAAGAGACCCCAAACATTCTTCGTGTTTCAACTTCTGGAAACAGAAAAGCTGGAAAGATGTAGGAGCTCTCTGGATGTCAAACAAAGGGCTGAGTTCCTGCCAACAGAGTTTGATTAATAAGGAGACAACATGAAATAGGTGGTACTGCTGTGCTGCCTGCAGACAATGAGCTCTTTTCTTTTTCTGGCTTGAGCAGCCATCAGCAGTTGGAGTAATGCTTACATCAGCTCTTGTACATGGAGCTTAGAAGTAGAGTCATTTACCATATTTATTTTTTGGCCTTTTTCCATTATTTGGGAAGATTTGTTCAGGCATTTAATCCAAAGTCTGATTGCAATAGGAAGGATGAAGGGTTTGTTGTTGTTTTGTGTGTTTTCCTTGCCAGCAAAGCACTGCTGATCCTTTGATGAAGATTTTTCATTGTTGTTTTTTAGCAGCTTTGATAGATCAGTTACTCATCTGTCTGCATCTGAAGTTGTGGTGCAATATAAAATCTCATACAGTAGAGCTTGAGGATTTGATTTTTACTTTTATCTTTTGACAACTACACTGGAGGAGTCCAAAGAATGAATGCTTCAGAACAGAGCTGTGTGGGCTGCATTTTAAAAGTAATTAATGCCTTGAGTGCAAGTTAAACCTCAGATTGGAAAGGAAGAAGCAAAGCAAAATTAATGACACAATATAAGCAAAGCAGTTCTCCAAGGGGGGAAGGCTTACAGGGTTTTAAATATGGATGTTGTGGGATATTTGTCTACCATGGGAAAAAGGAGTAGCAATGGATTTGGGCTGATGGTACGTTGTGTTGGAAGCTCTTCTCCACTGGACTTAAATTCCTGATTTGAAGGTGGTTTGAACAGGGAAGACAAAGGTACAAACATCTGAATTCTGCTCAGTATGGATTGGTGTGGATTTCTCTGTACACATGCATGGCCTGTGGCTCTTGTATGAAAGTTCTGTGACAGTTTTGGTGTCATACCATTGCAGTTTATTACATGTAAATGCCTTGAATTTTGGAGCTTACTCTGGAGCAGCCTTCAAAATCAGGCTTAAAACTCATCTCTTTTTTTGTGTTCAGTGTACAAAAGGAACCAAATTCCACTCTCCCCCTGGGATGGGAGCAGTCAGAATATCAGCACTCAGATCCAGTTGTGTTCTTTGTGACTTGAGCTCAGAAAGAAATGAAAATTTCCTGCTGCTGGCTTTGCAAGACAATCAAATATTCCTTAATTTGTGGCTTCTTTGCAGCTCAGTAGAGACAAATGCTTCTCACCATCGCCTCAGACAGAGAATAGCAGCACAGGGCTGTAAAGCAGCCACTACAGCAGGCTTTCTCCACTGAGAGTTAAACATGCCTCTGTTTTTCTTGTGGTGATCTCTCATCAAAGGTCAAACAAACCAGATTTCTTTGCAAGTTTATCAGAGTTTGTGAATGCCTTGAAAGAAAGCTGGAATACCAAAAGTGTGTGTAGCAGAGGAACACAGTGAGTGCTCCTACCTTCTGTGGTTGAAGTAATCTATTAATTAGGTCACTCCTGACGTAGCCTGAAAGGAGTTTCTAACAGTTTTCCTACAGCAAAGCACTTTATTGAGGGATTGATTATTAACCTCTTAGCAATAATCTTACTATTTTCATAAAACACTGAAAATTACTGGAGAGTTCTCAACTAAATACTGTATTTTTGTAGTGAAAAGTAGTTAATATATTATCCTAGAGATGTATACGTTGATTGGAAAACTCAAAGCATGCTGTTAATCACATTTTCTTACTGTAATTGGGCGGACTGCTGAAATCTGCCCTGGCAATCAAAGCTCTCCTGACAGCTCTCCTGCATCAGAAGTTCAAATCAAAGAAAACCTTTTGCTTTAAGTGTCTTTAAGAGCCTCTGAAGACTTGAGGTGGTACTTTTCTGTACCCTCTTCTGTGAAAGATGGCTCTGAGATGCAGAAGTTCTGAGCAGTACCTTCAGCTCCAGAGTGCTTTGGGTGACACTGCTTAGCACTGCTGGGAATGGATGCTGCTCCTCATGCCTTGAAATAGCAGCAGGATCGAGGAGTGCTTTGCTTCCCCCCCGTGGATCTCTGGAAAGAAATGGTTCCCAATACCTCATGGATAAACTTGTCTTCTAGCCTTTATTCCACAGCTTTCTGATTTTTCTGGTTTAGAGAGTCAGAAAAACCAGTAGTGCCTTCGAACAACGTAACAGTTGCAAATCACAGATGCTGCTGTTGGTAGTCATCACTGGACGCAGGCTGAGGAAGGCCTGAAGTGCTTTTATGGTTCTGACTTTAGCAGTGAGGGCACTGCTGTGTCTTTCTGCTATGCTCTGTGATGCTGTGCACGGTGCTCTTGCAGCCTGGATTTCATGAAGCTTTTACAGTGGGTTTTGTGCATTCCTTTGTGCTTTTCGAGGTTCTGCACACAAACAAAATGGCAGTGTATGCTTATGAGTCTCCTTAGAGACAAAGCCTTAAAACTTGTACTGTCCTTTGCCAGGTACCACTTTGCCCATTGAGGTGTATGGCCTTTGCATTGTGGGTTTTCTCCTGTGGTGACAGGTGCTGCTGCAGGCAGCGCTCCTGCATGAGCCACACTTCCATTCTGCAGCTGTGGAAACGTGGCACAAACTTCATACCTCCATCTTTGGTCAGCAATACTATTTAAAGCCTTTCTTTGGTGTAAGGGGTGCTTACCTTGATTTTAAGGGACCTAAGAATCGAGTGCATTTTCTTGTTTGATTACTGAAGGACCTATATGTATTTTTCCCTGTTTCTGGGGTCTGCTTTTAGTGCAGGTACTGTTTTTAAACCCCCTTTGGGTTTGTGGAACACTACAATAAAATTACCTTAATTCCAATGTCCTCATCGCTGTGTTTTTTTTCCTCTATCAGAGGGAGAGGCAACGGGTGTCTGAGTGCAGCTCTGTTTGTGATGGTCAGAGTCACCTGATTTCTGGCTAACATCTCCTAATGGAAGTTGTGGGATGCTGGGTATGTTCTGTATCCTTCCAGCCTGGCAGCTGTGGGGCAGAGGGGACTTTGAAGCACGCTGTGCCTACTGAGAACAGGTGAAAAAGGCAGCAGTTGCTCAACAGTGACCCACAGCCTGAACCCACAGCCTGTGCTGCTGCAGGCAGAGCTCTGCTGCTCCTCGTGCTGAACTCCACGGCCGAACCTCCTCGCCCTGTAGCTCCTTTGTGCTGCATTCATCCCTGCCATCTGCCCGTCATGTAAACATCTGACGGGGTGGGGAAACCAGCCGGGCGAGCTCATCACGGAACCGAGAGTTTCTGCGAGCTGAAAATGTGCAAAAGGTCCTCGGCCGGGAGCAAAATCAGCCGCAGTTCCGCGGAGATCCGCGAGGAAGGCGCTGCTCAGCGGCGGAGGGGCGGAACGCGCGGAGCCGGAACTCAGAGCTCGGGAGCGGCGCTCCGCCCGGACCGTGACGCGCGTCGCACCGCGCGGCGCTGTGATTGGCTGAGAGCGGTGCGCTCCCCGCGCGGGTCCCCATGGCGGCGCGCGGCTGCTGCCCCGAGTGCGGCTCCGCTGCGCTGCTGGAGGACGCGCACTACGCGCAGCAGCAGTTGGTGTGCGCCGCGTGCGGCTGCGTGCTGGCCGAGGGGCTGCTGACCACCACCTACAGCGACGAGGGGCAGCTGCGAGGTGAGGGCTGTGCCGCGGGCCCCATGCAGTGCTGTAGGCTTGGGGCTGAGTGGCTGGATGACTGTGAAGAGGAAAGGGACCTGGGGGTGTTGGTTGATGCTCGGCTGAACATGAGCCAGCAGTGTGCCCAGGTGGCCAAGAGGGCCAGCGCCATCCTGGCCTGCATTAGGAATAGTGTGGCCAGCAGGAGCAGGGAGGTCATCATCTCCTGTACTCAGCTCTGCTGAGGCCGCACCTCGAGTGCTGTGTTCAGTTTTGGGCCCCTCACCACAGGAAAGACATTGAGGGACTGAAACGTGTCCAGAGAAGGGCAACGAAACTGGTGAGGGGTCTGGAGCACAAGTCTTATAAGGAGCGGCTGAGAGAGCTGGGATTGTTTAGTCTGGAGAAGAGGAGGCTCAGGGGAGACCTCATGGCACCCTGCAGCTTCCTGAAGGGAGGCTGTGGTGAGGAGGGGTTTGGCCTCTTCTCCAGGCAACAAACAGGAGCCGGGGAAATGGCTGCAAGTTGTAGCAGAGGAGGTTTAGGTTAGGCTTAAGGAAGAACTTGTTCTCTCAGGCACTGCAATGGCTGCACAGGGAGGTGGTGGAGTCGCCGTCCCTGGCAGCGTTCAAGATGGATGAGGAGCTGGATGAGGATGAGGAGCTGCGAGATCTGGTTTAGTGCTTGTGGTAGCAGTGGTGAGGGGAGGGCGGTTGGACTCGATGATCTTGCAGGTCGTTTCCAACCTTGTGATTCTATGATTCTATGATTCTCTGCACAGCCATGGTGCGCCTGGTGCTGACTGACTGCTGCTGTTTGTTTCAGAGGTGGCCTATTCGCAGAGCACTGGGCAGAAGGAGCAGTTGAACCGCTGCGAGCAGCGAGGTAAGGGCAAACATCCCGACCTGGGCTGTGTTTCTCTGGACGTCCAATGCCACCCTTATTGCAAACAGCTCCTCCTTTATATCCAGCCTAAACCTTTCAGTTTGAAATCGTCCCTCTTGTCCTGTCATAGCAGGCTCTGCGGAAGGGTCTGTCCCCTTCTTCCTTACAGCCCCTTGGGCTGCTCTCAGGTCTGCCTGGAGCCCTTCCTTTCCCAGCTGCACAGTGCTCTGCCTGTCCTCACAGGGCAGTGTTCCATCCCTCGGATCACTTCTGCTTTTCTGTAATTCTAATGCATCTCTGAAATGGTAAAAGCCTTTGGGAGCTGACAGTAGAACATGAAGGAAGGAGTTAGTTCTGCTGATCCTTAATAGCAGTGTCTTTTTTCAGGGATCAGACGGGTCCAGGATCTCTGTAAGGTTCTTCGGCTCCCGTCGGTGTTTGAGGGAACGGCCGTCTCTTATTTCCAGAGAGCACTGCAGCACCCCTCCTTCCGCCTGGTCAGCCTGGAGAAGAAGGAGCTCCTGGTGGGCTGCTGCGTGCTGGCAACCTGTCGGCAGCACAACTGGCCGCTGACGCTGGGAACGATTTGCTCCCTCCTCTATGCAAAGCAGGAATTGGTCACCAGCGTCTACCTGAGCCTTCAGAAGGAGCTCAGGATCTCAGTGCCGGCGCTGAGCCTTTCAGATCTGGTGAAGACACACCTTAACAGGTAACAGGAACCATTCATCGTGCCCATGGTGCTCTGTGTACAGCACCAGTTTGTGCAAAAGCTTCCAGATGCAATTGCTGTGGAAAGCTGTTTGGAGAGCAGGCAGTGTGGGACTTAGGCATGGTGAGCTACAGCTTAGCTTGAGAGCAGGGTGTGTTTGCCCTTTAGGACCTCACTGTGGCCTTCTCCATGTTTATTTAGATGGATGACTGCAGCAGTGGCTGCCACTGTGGTGGAGTATCAGCAAATACTGGAGGCTGAGGGCAGAAATCCCTCACAGACTGAGCCGTGTTGCTGTAGCCAGGTCCTGATGCTTTTCCTGGTGCTAACAGTAGGTTTTCTCCTCTTCCAGTTTCCGCCTGTTCCAGCACACAGAGGACATCCCTGTCCTGTTTGTGGAGGACAAAGAGACAATGCTTGCCCGGACCATGCAGGTGGTGGAGCTGGCCAGTGAGACGTGGCTGGTGACAGGCCGGCACCCCATCCCCATTGTCACAGCTGCAGCCTTCCTGTCCTGGCAGTCACTGCAGCCCTCCGCCCGCCTCACCTGCACGTTCACACAGTTCTGCAAGGCAGCAGGCGTCGACCTGCCCCCCCCAGCACGCCTGAGGCTGAAGGAGCTTTATGATGTCCTCCTGAGGATGGCAGCTGAGCTCGCTTGGCTAAAGGTGCTTAACTTGGACAAGAAGACGGTGGTCAAATACATTGGGGATCTGCTGCAGCACCGAATCTTCCTGCTGAAAAATGCCTTCTGTGCAGCAGATGTGGAAGAGCAGCAGAGGGCAGCCCAGGCTGAGGACTCCTCCAGCAATCCTCTGGCAGCAGAAGGGACAGCACCAGACAAGGGCTGTCCCTCGGAAGGGAAGCAGAAGGCTGTGGGCAGCCGGAGGCCCTTACTGCCACCCTGCCTCCTCCATCCAAGGAAGAGACTGCGCACTGCAGCCTTGAGTGCTTCAGATGCTGCCGTCACTGGAGATGATCCCATCTCTGACAGTGAAATAGAGCAGTACCTGAGGGGCCCAGAGGAAATCAGGGCATTTAGGAGGGCTAAAGTGTGGCAGTAAAGATGAGCATCACTGGAACAGCAGCACCGGAGCACCAGAGACTCTGGAACCAAAAGTATAAATCCTGATGGTTAAAGAGATATTGAGTGCTGCAAGGACAGTCATCCGAGGAAATGGGGTGGGGTGGGGAGTGGGTGATGGCTTCTTTCATGTTCTGGACCACAATGAGTTATTTTAATTGGAAATAAATAGAAGTACAGGTGTGAGGAATGGTTTCAGCTGCCCCAGCATCGGCTGGACAGGTGCTGAGAAACCACTGGGGTGTATGAGCACAGCACTGCTGGCTGTTTAATTTGGACACTGTGAGGCAGTGACCTCTGTCTGCCTAACGGGCTGTTGTGTTTGAATGCAGAGTCTGTGGGAAATAACAGTACATTTGGCAGATTTGCAAATCTTTAATATATTAAACAAAACATATCTGCTAGAAACATTCTATTTATATAAAAATGCAAAAAGACCCCTTTAAAGACATTTCTTTGGCATATTTTCCCCCTCCCTCCCCCATGTATATTGCAAGAAGCTCTCTGTTGATCTGTCATTTGCTTGTAATGTAAACATACAAAAAAAAAAAAAAAAAGAAGTGTAATTAATAATACCAAGCTTTTTATATAATACTGTCACAGTGCAGCAAGCATATATAACAACTCAGCATCAGCAAGACTGTGTGGGCTGCAGTATTGACATAAGGATTTAAATTGCATCAAATAGCAGGCACAATAAACGTGGCATTAAGCAGGCTGTTGGTCAGGGAAGTCTGGCAGCCCAGGGACAGCAGAGCTGCAGCAAAACCAGTGAACTCCAGCCCTGCAGGACGAGGGGTTCCAAAGGGAGGGGTGTTGGATTCTGAAGGGGAGAAAAATCTGCCACTAAGTGCTATTTACTCTGCTAACTCCTGGATCCCTCGGCTGTGGTGTAGCACAGGGCTGGCTTGAATGCTTCCCAGCACTTCAGTCCTTTGCTGCTCCCCAGGACCCCATGGGAGGTAGGTAAATAATTAAACCCATTTGCACGTGTGAAAAAACTGAGGCTGAAAACAGCACAGATACACTCCTAGTGCTCCTAGAGCCTCCTACAGCCTGCAGTGAGTCTGACTTTTTTTTGCCTGCTAGAAAAAAAGAGAGACTTGTTTTTAAATGGGGAAAAATAAGTGCTTAGCAAAGTTCCAGCCCTTTGAACGTACTGCAGTCCTTAGGAAGGGCCCTGGCAGCACTGTGGGTATCATCCTCTCAACTCTCCAGGAGCAGCCCCCTCTGAGGGAGGAGCCCATGCTGGAGGGACAGGAGGTGGCTCAGCACAGTGCTGTTAGTGTCCTGGCTTTGTGGGAGCAAAGCCTGCTGGGTTCTGTATGCACACATGGGTTAAGGATGAAGACCTGCTTTGGTGCCTGCGCCCAATTGGGCTCTTTGGTTCCTGGAGGAGATGGACAACCTGTGTCCATCTTAGGCAGAGCAGTGCTGCTGCTCCACCTGTTTGCATAGGTTACACGTGGGAGGGTCTGGGAGCATTTTCCTGCGGTGCTTTTAGTGTCTGACATCCACAGAGTGCAGACAGTTTCTCAGATCAGTGCCTTCTCTTCGCTTGTGCTTGCTTCGCAATATGGCTTTTGCTTTGGCAATCGAGTAACCCTCAGGGCTAAATACTGTCCTTTAAGATAACAACATTTGCATTTCATAACACTTCAAACTGAGACTCTTTCAGAAAAAGCTCATTTGGGGCCACCCAAGCGTCTGCACGACATGCCTACGTCTGGGAATATTGCAGTCGTGGCTGTGGGAGAACATTGCTGGTAAGGCGGAGGCACTTGCATCAGTCTATACATATATACATTCAACAATATAGAAATTTGAAAAATAGACATTTGTTTCCTTTGTATATTATAAAATAGCATTTAGGATCAGTCTGAAGTGACGTGCGGGAGTGACGGAAGCGTGGCTGCAATTCATGCTGCTGAAAAGCAATGGTTGCCTTTTACCTCCGCCTCTCAGTGCTGCAACCTGGGCAGGCTGTGACGCCCGTCCTGCGGGGATGAAGCCCCACGTAGTGCACTTAGCCACGCTCACAGCCTCTCTGTGAGCCTCCTCCGTGCACAACCTCCAGCCAAGGAGGACGTGCTGCAGCACTATGGCCATCTGCTCCTTCCCCATCCCTCACACTGTGGTTTCGCTCTTCCAGAGCCCGCTTCTCATCCCTGCCCCGCTGTCAGCACCGGCCAGATTGACATCATACTTGCTGCCCTTCAACCCTCCGTTGTGGCTGCCCACATTTAGGGGGTAGGAGCGTCGCTTCGCCTCCCTCTCCGCCTGCCTCACGTTGTCTCTGCTCCGCCGTCGCGCCTCCAGGAAGCCGTCGCTGCCCTCCGATTGGCTGGGTGCCACCTCCCCATCCTGGATGCCCACGGCTCGCTGCGCAGCGCAGTTGTTCATGGGGCTGTTTCTGCTGCTGTGGTAGCTCTCGGAATGGCTGTTGTGCACGCTGCCGCTTTCGCTCTGCTCGGAGGATGGGCCCCGCAGCACCTTCAAACGGTGGTGCTTCCCCTCGCGGTGCTGCTTAGTTCTGCTCTTGTGGTTCCTGCGGTGGTTGTTGGTGTTTCTCCCCACCCCGGCGCTTCTCCCATCTCCGTGCTCCGGCTCATCAGCCTGGCTCTGTGCCGCCCGCAGGTTGGTCAGCTTGCAGCGGCCGGCGGCTGAGCCCGTGCTGCTGGGTGAGGAGGAGGACGTGGCGCTGCGGGCGGCTTCGGGATCGCAGCTGATGAACATCTGTGAGCCGTCCTCTACCGCCGCTGTGCCGGGGTGGCTGTAGGGCTGCATAGGCAGCGCAGAGCGGTAGGATGGGCAGCAGGAGAACCACGAGCCCAGCACGTCCCGGCGACGGACGCAGTGATGGATGAAGATGAAGAGTCCCAGCGCCACGGCCGTCACTCCATAAAGGCAGCTGAAGACAATGTTGAGATCTCCACGCTGGGACACGGCCATGGCTCCAAACGTCCATAAGGCCACATACATGGCGTGCACAGCCAGCAGGGCCCAGAGCTGTGCCTGCAGTGAGTACACACCATCCACCTCTGGGCAATGCGTCCCTGAGTGTAGTGTCACTGAGATGGAGCCTGAGTCTGTCAGCAGCTCCCCGTTGGTCCCCAGCCTTGGCGGTGTGCCTGGCAACTCCGGGGGCTCCTTCCCACGGGGAGCGTGGCACTGCAGGCTGAGTCCAGCACAGAGCAGGTACAGCCAGGTGACCAGTAGGATGAAGGCCACCGGCACGTAGAAGGCGCCCAGGCTGGGTCTCCACACCAGCCAGCAGCTGCAGGGCAGAGAAAAGGATTCAGTCAGCATGGCTTCAGCCTTAGGGCACCTTGGTCCCTATGGCCTGCCTCCATGGCTTATGCATGCCTTGTCAATGGACAGCTCCTGGGATGGATTCCACAAGCATTTTCCTGGATTACCAGCACTGCTGGCTTCCCTTCCCCTTGCCCACGCTGAGGAAGGAAGCAGGACACTTACTAAGGGTTGTTGTCGTGGTAGTTGTGGATGTTGACAGCTGCTGTGATGCCACAGATGATGAGGGGGATCCCACCAGCAATCAGATAGAACCTGCAAAGAGAGAGCACGCCAAGAGCATACAATAGTGCTGGGTCAGAGCACATCAAAATTATGCTATGCTGCTGAGTGCACTTCCCAATGGGGAAGACCTAGTGAGGAGTCTCAGGCAGGGGATGGCAGTACCGTAGCATGGGCCGAGGGGTCGGAGGTGCTGAATCCCCATCTGGCTGCTGAGGTGCTTTCCAGGTCGCCTCCTTGTAGAGGACACGGGCTTTCACCACCATCCACAGCAGTGTGGACAGGGAGGAGTAGTGCAAAATGATGCCGACCTGCGGGACAAGATGATGTGGTCAGCACAATGATGCAGCCAAGCGAGGCTCAAGTGTTCAGCTTGGAGTAAAACCCCATTTGGGGTCCCCATTGCAGCAGTGGCACCCACCGCTTGGCAGACAACCAGGTAGCCGGTGAGGGTGATGCCTCCTGCAAACACTGCTGATGTCATGGCCATGTGGAAGCAGAGGTTAAGGAGCATGTGCCAGCACTTCCGCGTGATGTGAATGGTGCTGGAGGGAGCAGAAGGGAGCAGTGAGCTGTCTGGCTTGGACTGTCCTCCTCCAGCCATACCCCTACCTACAGCCAAGGCCACCCCGTGATGCTCACCCGTGGTGGACGATGTATGTGATGATGGTGGTGAAGAGGCAGAGCAGCAGCACAGCTGTGCAGGTGTACATGGCTGGGTGCAGCACCTCCACTGGACCTTGTGCCTCACTGGGGAACCCGCTCAGCTCCTGCATGGCACCACACAGCCCGTCAGACCCTATCCCACAGCCCCACAGCCTGCAGAACCACGCATCCTACACCTCCACATGGCCCCAGTGCTCACCCCCCACCTGCTGCCCCATTTACCATGAGCACAGCCACGTTGCTGAGGTGCCGGCAGTGCAGGGAGGTGACGTTGGGCTCACGGGCAGCCAGCTGGCAGCCCTCAGCGCTCCAACCCCCCATGCCCCCCAGCACCTCAAAGTTCCAGTAGGCAGCCACGGGGTCTGCACCCTCCCCAGGGTGTCGCAGCGACACGGCCACCGGCTCCGTCAGGTTCCCTACACTGCAGCCATCTGCAGGGATGGAGAGAGCTGGTGAGCCAGGGGGACCCACCCCCAAAAAATACTTTCCCTTCAGCAGCACAGCCCAAAGAAATGGCTTTGCTCTACAGCAGCGCTGGGGAGAACAGCCCCAAGAGCTCTAATCTCCATAGAAAGGCAGCCCTGCTGGCACACAGCCCTTACATGTCCCTGCATAGATGACTGGCGTGGCCACGCTGCGTCGCTTGCCGTCGTCTGCTAGACGTGAGGAGTTCCCTGTGCTGCAGAAGAGCTTCCCGTTGCGGAACACCAGCAGCTGCAACTTGCAGTCGGCCAGCGGGGTGGGTGGGACAGGGCTGGCAAAGAGGCTGGGAGGCAGCTGGATGGAGGCCAGGGCAATGCTGTTCTGTGGGCACACAGTCACCGGTGAGATCAAGCCGCACCCTCAAGCCCCTCACACCCCCATCAGACCCATACCTTGATGTGGAAACTGCTCAGGGAGATGTTGGGGCGTCCTGTGGTGCAGCGCAGCCGCAGCTGCTGGTCAGGCTGGGGCTCGGCTGCCTGCTCAGCCAGGGCTGTGCGGCCAGGAGGGCCCCCATCCCGGCGCTGGAATGCCACGCAGCTCAGCCCCACGTAGCTCTCAGGCTTTACCACGTATGCCTCGAAGGCGATGTTGCGTGAGTTCTGCCAGGCACAGAGCAGTGAGGCTACTGTCAGCCCAGCATGGGCAAAGACCCCTCATATGAACATGGATGGACCCCCACCGTGTGCAGGGACTCACCACTGCCATGTGCTGGGAGTTGCTGCTGAGGGTGTGCGCAGCGATCTTCTCCAGTGAACGGACGATGCTGGTGCATGCCTTCTCCTCCTTCTGTGACATCCATAGGATGTGGTCGTCCACCAGCATGATGTTGCTTGCCATCTCCACGATCACATCAGTGAGCTGCGAGGAGAGCCGGCTGCAGGTCGCGCTCAGTTCATTCATCCCCAGTTCATGCTTCCCTCCCAGTACCCACCATGCACAGATGGGGAAAGCAGAGAACAGCAGCGTTACCTGCTTGATCTGGTCCACGTAGCCAATAAACTTCTCAATCATCTGAGCCACATAGAGGACATCAACCATATCCGAGAAGTTCGCAGCCTCAGCTGTGTAGACGCGCAGCTGGTGAGCCAGTGTCAGTGCATTGGAGGCATTGATGGGCATCTGTAGGGTAGCACAACCACAGGGCACAGTCACTGCTGTGCCTGACCCCAACCTCAGCAATCCTTGTGGGCTGAGCACCCGGCTCACCAGCACAAAGGTGTAGAGCACACGGGTGATGTCGTTGGTGTAGAGGCAGTGGGAGTAGTCGCCCTCCTCCCAGCGCCCCGCACGGTCACAACGCCTGGATGCTTGCTTCTCTGCTGCCGGGCCCCCACTTGCTGGCCCCGAGGCAAAGGGGTACTGCAGGCATGACTGGAAGGCAGTGATGCCAGCCAGCGTGCGGGGCCACCTGGATGCACACACACACACACACACACAATGACAGTGGGGCAATGCTCCCCACAGAGCTGCTGTCCCCCCATCCCACATCCTGCTCAGCTCAGAGCAGCACAGGGGGGCACCGCTAATCGAAGCCACATTGACTGCAGCAGTAATTTATATTCTGGAACAGCCCTGCCGAGGTTACGGCAGACGCCCAGAGCCTTTCGTCTTGTGCCAGAGAAATTCCAACACCTCTGCTGCTGGAGCCGGGCTGCGCTGCCGGCATGGGAAGGCCTTCAAAGGCGCTCATGCTCCCTGTGGCTGCTAATTGCAACCAGATGATTGGGCACCTGTGGGCCCCCGCCTGCAGGCAGCCCCCTGCACGGCACGCACCGCGCACAGCCACGTTCCCCCTTGGCCACACTGCTACTGGTCTCTACCTGAAGTCCCCTCGGTTGTTGGTGACGCGCTCTGCGGGGCAGTAGGACGCGGAGGTCTCCAGCACCACAATCTCCACCTTCTTGCTGACATTGCCCTGGGAGGTGGAGACGGCACACTCCCACTCACCGTTGGCAGAGACGTGGATGTTGGAGAGGATGAGCTCGCTGTGGGCAGAGGGGACACGTTGGCATGGAGAGGCAGTCCCTGGAGTGGGGACATGCACCAAGAAACAATGCCAACACTTTGCATCCCACCTACAGCACTTGGTACCCGCAAACCTGCAAGCCCTGCACTGTTCCCACCCCATATGCACCCCATCCCCACCTCTATCTCCATCCCCATCCCTATTCCCATCCTCATTCCTGTTCAATCCATCCCCATCCTATCCCACCTCCATTCCTAACCCCATTCACATCTCTATCCCCATCATCCCCATCTCCATCCTGATCCTATCCCGTTCCCACCTGGTGATGAAGGTGCAGTCATGGATGAGGCTCTCCTCCACGATAACGCCCGCCCGCTCATCCTCCTGCACTCGCTGGTGGTTGTGGTACCAATGGATCTGGGTGCTGTTATCCAAATAGGTGGCGGTGCACTGGAAGGGCAGTCGGTCCCCCTGGAACACCACCTGACGCAGCGACGGGATGAGGTGGTGGGTGTGCAGCTCCGGGGTGCCCTCTGCGGGGGGGGGACACATGCAGTGTGAGTCCCCCCAGCCCTGGCACACCTCCCACACCCTTCCCTTCTTTCTGCTCACCGCATTGCAGCTGGCTCTCCTGTGTGCTGCGCAGCGGGGTGCTGTGCAGGTGCCGTGGGTACACACACAGTGTTCGCTCTGAGATCTGTGCTGAGCGGTTGCGGGCCCAGGGCAGCACCCAGAGCAGATTGCAGTCACACGTCAGGTATTCGGTGGCAAAGTCCCTGCAAGGGTCAGCAGCCGTGTGGGGAGGCTGAAGCTGGAGGTGGCACAGCTGTGCACACTTCAGAGAGGGTCTGTGTTTGGGAATGGATGTGGTGTACTCACACGACTTTCAGTGAGGGCAGCTCATCAAAAACGCCAGGGGGGAGGCTGGAGAAAATGTTTCCTGACATGTTACTGCAAGACAGGGAAGCACAGAGCCATGGAGGAGACTGGAACATGCTTGGAAAACCTAAAGTCTTCTCACATCCTGGGGATCCTAGTGTCACCGACTGGTTTGGGCATCCTCATCCCTACCTCCATCCCATCCCCAATCCTAGAGATGAAAGCCTTTAGGAGGGGACCAGGAGTCCGAGCTCCCTGATGTGTCCCATTTACAGCCCCCACCACCCAATACAGTGTGTGGGGCATGGTGGCCCTTCTAGGGGAGCCCACGGCACTGCTTACAGTCGGAGGAGGTTGGTGAGACCCTGGAAGACACTGGCGCTCAGACAACCGATGCGGTTGTTGGAGAGATCCCTGTAAGGAAGCAGAGGGGCTGTCAGTGCTGGGGATGCTGAGCTGCTCCCAGTCCCCATGGGCTGCCCTGCGCTCCCCAGGCACTTACAGACGCTTCAGCTCGGGGAGCCCAAGGAAGGCACCTGGCTGCACCGTGCTGATCAGGTTGTTCTTCAAGTCCCTGCAGGGAGACAAACACAGAGCTCAGGGTGTGCAGCCAGCATCCTGCCCCTTCCATCAGCACAGCTCCACAGTGCTCCCAGCCAGATGGAAGCCTGGGGAATGCAGCCCCGCTCCCAGCACACTGCAGCCACACAGAGCCAGGCATCCCAGGGACTCTGCAGGGCCTCACACGTACCATGCCCACCTTTCCTTCCTGCAGAGCTGTTTCCAGAGCAGCCTTATCCCAGGAAGGCTATTAGGATAAGAGCACACTGCAAATGTCAGCACAGCCTCACAGTGGCTTTGCAGCCTGGAGGAAGCTCGATTGGGTTATTACACTGATTGCAGGCATGTATCTTATCAGAGGCATGCCAGGCACGCAGCAGCCGCTGCAGTAGGGACGTAGGGAGAGCTCTCAGCTGCTGCACTTCTGCTGAGCAAAGGTGTCCCGTGGGTACATGGCACCCAGCCAGCTCTCAGGGTGCTGGCAGGGTGTACAGGTGTGCAGGGCTGTGGGTGTGCAGGGCTGTGAGCGTGCAGATGTACACGGGTGGCTCAGGTGAGCCCCAGTGCTGAAGGAACAGCTCCACTCACCCACGCCGTGCACACCTGTACTGCAAACACAGCCATCCCAACAACCCTCCCCATGCACACCACAGAATACACCTGACCCTGGGACAGCAGCCTAGCCCCACCAGGCAGCACAGACAGACAGACAGACCCTACACTTGCAGCACTGCGGGATCCCCACAACTCTGCACGCAGCACCGTTCAACATCCCCCTCCCCAAACACTGTGTTGGTGCAGCACGTTCATTTCTTTGTGAGGACTTATGGACATTTCCCAGTGCTTCCATGTGCAGCTCATAGAGGCTTTAAGCCATGCTCCCAGCCCTATCTACAGCACACGGGATGGAGTTACCATGAGAGTGATTTTCTCCCGTGCTCGCTCACATCAGAGCCTTTCAACACAGTGCCCAATGCCTGGTTAACAGAAGCCATTGTCACCATGGGGCCACCCCAAAACTCACAGTCCTTTATGGGGCCATCGAGGGACCCATCCTGGCCAAGTCCCAGCCCCTGAGCACGGTGGTGCTGGCGGAGGGCACGGCACTCCCAGTTGGGGCTGCGCTAATGAGGGTGGCCGCATACCGGCCCTGCTCACACTCATTAATCTCATTACGCCGCCACATATCAGTGGTGATGCTGAACTGCCAGTCCTGAGGAGCGGTGGGCGTGGGGCTCTTGGGGGTGGCTTGGGGACCCTGGAAACAGCTTAGCCCCAATGACTGCGTCACACCAAACCCCCATGGCCCCATGACCAAAGCAAGGGGCCCCTGAGGTCCTCGTGGTGCCAGCACAGCCCCTCTGTGGGGTTTGTCTGTGCTGCAGCCCTGGACCGACCTGATGCACACAATTAGAGCTGCTGTCGGGAGCAATCAGGCGCAGCCCCGTGCTGGCTGGGGGACGGGGGGATGCTGCCCATGGCTGTGCTCTGAGCTGAGCTTCATTGAAGGTTATCCCATGCTACACACACAGGGACCTCAGGGCATGGGGATGTGCAGACCTCCTGCACCTGGGGACTGTTGTCCCCCAGGTATTGCCCCTGGGCCAGGCTGCTCCCTGTCCAGGCTCATTAATCCTCTCATTAATGAGAACTCAGTGCCAGGAGCCTAGATGTGACCCCATACTTCAACCACAGCGTGGGAGAAACTTGGGTCCTCAAAATGACTGCTTCAAATAGAGTCCCAAAACAGCTCCATGGGTATTTTCATGGCTTCAAAAATCTCATGTCAGCCCCAACACCGTGCACCGGGAACACAAACCCAGAAGCAATGCCATGCCCTGCAGTGCCTGCCCTGACCAAACACTGCACACCCACTCCCCATGGAGCAGCTGGCCTCTGCTGGCCAGGGCAGGTGCACACTGTATAACTCAAACAAGCTTCACGTTCATAAATGCTTCCTTGTTCGAGCTAATGAGATCCAGGCTGTGCTGATCCCACTGCCCATGGGGAGCAATGGTGAGACCCCTAGGCAGTGGGGCTGGGACCAATGGGTGCTGTAGTGCCAATCAGAAGCCTGGGCCCCATGGAGGGGTCCCTGCACCCCAAAGGAATATGGACATCCTTGGCACCATATGCCATGGGATGGTGCAAGCACAGCACCCTGCAGGGACCCTCCTGCAAAGGGATGGGCACCCATGGGCTGTCCCCACAGCTGGAGCCCCTCGGCCCTGGTGTCACCCCATCCCTGTGGGGCTGAGGAATGTGTGAGCCCCTTGAAGTGGAACAAAACACCCTCAGTGTGCCCGTCCCCACTCTTACAAAGCTACAGATCAGATCCATATGGGGGCCATAAATCTCCTCTTATTAACGTTCCCATCATAGAGATGCCTTTCATGGAGAGATAAGAAAGTTGACTTTGTTTGGGGGGACAATGTCGCTTTTCATACCAGCCCCCACCGAGTGTGGCCCCCCTGGTGCCTCTGCCCCAGTCCAGCTCCCAGAGACCCCAGGACGCCTGTGGGTGCTGGTGGCAAACCTAATGCCCAGAGGCTCACTGACTAGCCTACCCCACGCCACCCCCAGTCTCCATTCACTCACAGCTTCTCCAGCGCCCGCAGCCCGAAGAAGGAGCCGTTCTGCAGCACTGTGATCTTGTTGTTGCTCAGCAGCCTGTGGGGATGAGAGCAAAGGGATGGAAGGAGAGGGAAGGTGCTGTTACATGGGTTGTGATGGAGATGCCCAAGGATCAGCGGGGCTGGGGGATTGGGAATAGCCAGTTCTTAGCAAGGTGGCATTGCTGGGGGATGACATGGGACACATAGCACCCCTGTGGGGACACCATGCCATGGTGGCAGTGGGCTGGAGGTCCCCAGGGCTCTATCAGTGCCTGAGGCATCACAGCATAGAGTTGCATGTGTAGACAATAAGAACCCCCAAACCCGCACTGAGCAGCATCGAGGAATCCTCAGCCCCTGCCCCATTAGAGATCAGTGTGGCACACAGCTCCGACCCTGCAGGAAGTGCAGAGGGAAACCACAGCAGGGAGGGCTCCCCGGGAACCCCATCCGGGGGCGAGCAGCAGGAAAAAAGGCCTCATTGAGGGCTGTGCCAGAGCTGTTTACACACGGGCCGTCCCTGCAGCTGCGCTGAATGGGAACTGTGTGCTGCAGACAGGACGCGCTCCGCACCATCCCAGTCCCAGGGGGCAGACGTCGGGTTTCCCTGGCCCCATTCCCACATTGCAGCCAGGACTGGGGGACTCCTGGGGGGGTTGCAACCTAACCCCAGCAACAGCAGCTCAGCCTTATCCCATCCAAACCCCAGGGCACTCACATGGCACCCAGTTCCCTCACTACAGCCCCAAGGGATGCTGCTGCAGTGGAGCACGCTGCTCTCCATGGATGTTGCACTCACCCCTGCGTCCCCACCACCATGTGCTCTCCACAAGGGTGCAGCTTTGGCTGGGGTTACAACCAGGGCTGCACCCAGCTGGGAACATGGACCCCAGCCCACCACAGGCCCCAGGAAGGAACCCCCATGCCAGGAGATGCTTTGTTCTTCTGACCCCTGGGACCATCAGCTGTATTTCTGCCATAAAAACAAAACTCCCCTCCATAAAAGGCAAAGCTCAGGCGGTCCAAGATGAAATCAGTATCCTGTGTGATCTGCAGCCAGGCTGCAGGGAGAGCAGAGGCGGGAGCAGCCTCCATCCTGCGCCTGTTGGAGCTGGGACCCCCTGCACCTATTTGTGCAAGGAACAAAGCTCCCAGTGAGTGACCAAAGGATGCTGGTCTTTTTTCCCCAGGCAGCCCCACTGGGCTCCATGGAGCTCCACACATTAGTGGTGATGTGTCTCTGCTAGCACAACTCAAAGCAGAAAAGCAAAAAATATCTGAATGCATGAGATGGATGCATGGGGCTGCAGGAGGGATCCAGCCATGGCAATGGGTGCCTGTCTGGGTCCTTGCAGCCACTGATGCAGGGGGATGTGGTCCCTGTGCCCAGGCTGCCTGCAGACACACCATGAAAGTGCAGAACCATGAGCTGGACATGCCACTCAAGTGGAACAGTTCTGCAGCACCAAGGAACCCGTTGGCTGACGCTGCGTTCATTGAGCGATGCTGGATCACTCCCTAAGGGTAATGCAGGGATGACAGAGCACAGCATGAAGGAAAAGCAAGGAGTGGGTAATGGGTCCCATTGAGTCCCATCTCCTCTCCTCAAATCCATTACCAATGGCACAGAGCCTACGGGGCATCAGCGCAGGCGCAGAGATGGAGAAATCCTTTTCCCTTCTCATTTTTCTTCCCCTCATCTCAAAAAAGAGGAGCCAAAAAGTGAAGGAAAAAAAAAAAAAAAAAAAAAACCAACAAAAAAACACACAAAAAAACCCCAAACAAGCTTGTTTTTTCAAGCGTGCTGGAATCCACTTGGATAAATAACTGCTCCAGAACCCGGCCTGCTGGAACAATAAACTTCCTATGTCCCCGACCAAAAAAGGAGGCAGCGGCCGCGCTCCCCACAGCCGGCGTGCAGCGGGAGGAGGACGCGGCACGGAGGTTAATAGTGGGGCGAGGATGGTGGGGGTGGGGAGAACAGCTATGCTTTGCTCTCTGAGTGCATTAATTTAAAGCATATGCTCTGTGCAGATAGGGCCGTGCCCTGCGCAGCGCTCGGCCGCCGGCGGGGGATTGTAGGAAGGGTGAAGAGGGGGCCCCTGGTGCTCCCCAACCTCCTCCCCCCCCCCAAACTGGGGCGGTGCCACCAGCTCACGTCACACCAGGCTATTTCGGATGGTGAAAATTATTGTTCCAACCCTCAGCACAGGAAAAAGGAGCCCCGGAGAGAGGGAAAAGTGGTCAGAGTGGAGCAGTGCAGGGATGGCCCTGGGGGATGTCACATCCCCGTCGCCCCACAGCATTGCAGGGCCCCCCATCTGCAAGGATGGAAAGGAGAAAACCCACAGACCCTTAAAAACTACCCAATCAATATCAAAAGGTTTCCAAAAGAAACCATCTGCAGGGCCCAGGATAAGCAGAGGGGAGTTCAAGTAGAACTGGAAATTGGTCATAAGTCAAAGCCCTCTATTCCCTGCAGACAATCTGTAATTTTGGTGCAATCAAGCTGCGTGCAGAAATGAGGCCTGCGCTGGGATTCCACATCTGGAAGAGGTTTGGGCTCCTGCCCGTGTGACAGCGGGGCCAACAGGGTGATTGGGGCGGGTGGGGACGCAGCACACTTCCATCAGGGTGTGAGCAGGGGGCGGGGGGGGGGGGGGGGGGGGGGGGGGGGGACATTCAGCCCCATTAGCAAAGGGCTGCAGAGCCCTAGCAGCAGGCTGCAGGGACATCCCCAGCCAATGCCCTGAGATGCTGATGCTCAGCACCAAGGAAGCTGCAGCCCCAGCAGAATGGATGCCCACTGGAGCAGGATGTGTGGCAAGCAGCACAACGGGAAGCAAAGCACAAAGGGGTGAGGTGCAGGAACTGCACAGGGCAGAGAGCACATGCACATCTGCTCAGGTTGCATGGGGACATGGTGAAGCCAAACCTCACGCATGCTCCTGGCCAGCACTACAGCAAAGAACTGCACAGCTCTACACAAAACACACTGTGTGCCCCATAGTCGAGCTGCCCCTGGGGCATGCAGGAGCTGTGGGCTGCCCAGAATGATGTCCCCATGGCCTTAACCACACCTGGCAGCACTGGGAGATGCCGGTGAACCTGGAGCCTCTGGTTTTGATTGTCCCATCTGGAAAGGGTTTAGCATAAATCATGTTTACTGCAAGAGAGCAGAGCCCAGGGTCACCACGTATTTGTAGGTTTCTGTCTATGCCAGTAGGTTTCGTGTCACGTTGGAGTGGGATTGTGTCACGTCTTGATGCTGCCACACAGTCATCCTAAAAGGAAGCTCAAGAGCAAGCAAGGAATGGGACACTGCTCCTAAATACAACTCAACAAAGTACTCCCAATCCCTGCGGGTGCCTGCAGTGGGCTGACACGTCACAGCACCCTGGGGCAGGGACTGTAAGAGCAGAGCAGCTTGGGGAGAGCACTGCTGCAGTATGCAGCTCCAGCACAGCAGCACGGGATGGGGCCACGAGCACCACAGCTGCTGCTTTAGGGCCATCGATGCTTCCATTGTGACCACTGCATTTCAGAGCTCACAGTGCCACAGAGCCTTGATGAGCTTTGAGGACATGCTCCATATTTATGGGTTTTCACCAGGCCAACATCATCACCCTAAAATGAAGCCTCTGCACAGCAAAGGGCACATGGGAAAACCCAAACTGCCCCAACGCAGCCACAGGACCCCCATGCACGAGCAAATACATGATAACTGGGCAGGACCGTGAGCACCCTGTGCACTGCAGGACCTCAAAAGCAGGACAAGGTCCTGGTGGGATGGGTGAAAGTAGCGATTCCAGCAGCGGCCGTGCCGTCACTGCCCTCCCAGGCAGCTTTAATTCAAACCTCCCTGCCGCAGTTATAAATAAACACACACCACTGCCAGCGCCTGCCCAGAGCCCGGAGCTTCCCTGCCCAGGGCCGAGCGGGCTCGGAGGGAGAGAAGCGACAACTCAGCCCCATCACAGAGCCCAGATCCACAGCACATCAGATCCGTCCGGAGCAAATATTTCCAGTAAAAAGCTTTCAAACAAAAACATCCTCTTCCAGCGCTCCAAGCAGCAAACATCGCGGAAGGAAGCGCGGGGATGGAGCCCGTTTCCTGCGCTTCCACATCGGGTCCAAGCTGCGCACCCACATTTCCACCCCACGAAGACGGAGCGGTCCCGGGGCGGCTCCACGACGGCTTTTAAAACCCCATCGAACAGCGCTCCGCGTTACGCAGAGCAGAAAAACCGCTAGAGTCGGAGCAGAGCCGCCGACCTCACGAGAGACGGAAGAGTTCGCTCTGCGTGGAACGAAGGGACGCGGGCACGCGTGTGCGCGGTACTCACAGCGTGGCGGTGCCGTCGGGCAGCAGCCGCGGTTCGGGAGGTGCGGGTAGGGCCGCTCCGTTGCACAGAACCCGGCGACGGGGCACGGCGGGGCCGCTCGCCTTGTGCCGCTCCGCCGCGCACTTACAGCCCACGCTCTGCACCGCGCAGCTCCGCACCGCCGCCGATTCCGCAGCCCCGCTCAGCGCCGCCGCCACCGCTAAGAGCAGAGCCACCGCCGCCGCCCCCCGCATCGCCCCGGCACCGGGAGCTCCGGCTCCCCGAGCCCCGGGGCGGCTCCGGCGGCGCCTCCCCCGCTTGCAGCGCTCCGCCGCCAGCCCTGGCACCTCCCCCGTACCGCCCCCCGCCACCGCCTTCTTCTTCTCCTCCTCCCCCCGGCCCGGCCACCACCGGACGGCCCCGAGTGGGGAGGAAGAACGGGAACCCCGGGGGGGCAAAGAGGCGTCGGACCCTGCGCGGGGCTGCGGGGCAAAAGGCTCAGCCCGACGGCACGGAGCGGGGCCCGAAGCGCAGAGCTGGAATCCTGTGCGTCCAGGGGGAGAGATGGAGCCCCGGGCATCCATGGAGAGAGAGAGAGAGAGAGAGATGGAGCCCTGTGCGTCCAGAGAACGAGATGGAGATGCAGCTCCGCTTATCCACAAGAAAAGATGCAGCCCTGCTCCTACAGAGTTCACATGGTGTCCATACAGACCATGACGTGATCCTGCAGTGACAAGCACTGCATCCCTGGGACATGGGACATGCAGCCCTGCTGGCCCCCAGGGCCCCACACTACAACCAATGCACAAACTTTCTCTGTCATTTCACTGCTTTGCTCCCTCCTGGCCCCTTCTCTGCAGTTAGCACTCCTCCCTGCTCGCTTTTAACTTTGTTTGCCTCAGTGCTTTTCATTCTAAGTTCAATATTTTGCTTCCTGCTCCCCTCCTCCCACATCCCCGCTGCCCCCTGTGCTCCCCCAGCCCCTCTCAGCCCCATGCTCATCTTCTCCATGCACACCACTCACTGCAGCTCCAAATCAAAAGCGATCAAAGCACACAACAAATTCTTTGGGACACCTCCAGTGAGAGAGGGAAGAGGGTCACGGAATGGAGGCAGAGGCTGACTGGGGAAAGCAGTTTCTCTCCAGGACCAGCAGTGTCTGGAGGAGGAAGAAATTTACTCCATTCTCTAAATAAATACATCTCACTGTGGTGGTGGGCGTAAGGAGTTACTCATCACAGTCCCATCGTTCTAAGAACACAAACCCAACCCCAGGAGCTTGGTACAAGCTTGCCACCAAGTCACAGTCATGCACACTGTGTCCCTTTGCACTCCTTTTTTTTTTTTTTTTTTTTTTTGAGTAAAATTTCCACTGCAGCAATCACTTTCCAGTTCTCATTGCTTCAGGATGCTGGGCCCAGACCCCACAGCTGGAGCTGGGAGCAGCAGGAAACTGTTTGTGTCCAGCATCCGCCCCGAGATCCTGCATGAGCAGGTGATGGCCAATGGGAGGAAGAGGCTCCACTGACCCCCATAGCAAACATTGAGCCCTGCCTCCTCTTCATGCTCTGCAGAAAGCACAAGCAGTGCTCCCTTCTCCTTCTGTAGGTAACACAGCAATGTTCTGCCACTAGATCAAGCCCTAAAAGAACTTCTCATCCCCAAGAATTGCCGTGTTTGCAAAGGATGCACCATTTCTCCTCTGGGAAGCTGCTCATACCACTCCAACCCCAACCCTGGTGCCCCTCTTCTTTCTCTTTCTGAGGGCAGTGACTCCATAACCAGGGCTGGGAGGGCTCTGGAGAACCTCTGCATTAAACTGGGGGCTCTTCATACATGAACACAGCAGGACTTGGCACAGCCCTCAGCCCTGGAGGATACTGGTCACTGCTGCCATCATCTGAGGGTGGTCAGAGCACTGGAGCTGTCTCCACCACACACTGAAGCAATCAAGCTACTCTACGTGGTCTTCAGAATCCCAATCCCCTATAAAATTACCTCCAAGAACAGTCAAAACTTTGTCCAAGCCCATAACAAATGTGAGCTGTCTGGCCCCATCACTGCTCAGCTCCAGCAGGGCTCCCCACGTGGCTCAGCCCCAGGTCCTTTCAAGTGCTTCCAAAACCTCTCCACACTTCCCCAGAGCCCCTCCAGCCTCTTCCGACACCTCCTGCAAGGAGATCATGCGGCATCCCATCCTGAGCCACAATATCAAGGATGTGCAGTGCCAAACCCCATACCCCTCACTTTCATTTGGGTGTAACAGTGCTCCTTCTCCACTGCAAGCACAGGGAAAGACAACAAGCACGAGACTCGAAATTCCTTTCACTGGGATCCAATAAAAACCTTGGCAGTTGCTGGCCTTCCTGCCGGAAACCCGATCTTCAAGAAATAAACACTCTTTGCACTTTGAAAGGCTGTGTCAGGCTGTGGGGCTGGGGCATGGGGCAGCTTCTGCCTACCTCGGGTACCTCCAGCAGCTGCAGATCCAGTGCTGTCCATTGGGAGCTCTGCAGTCCCATAGGGATGTGCAGCACCCTGGTGTGATGTGCAGAGCAGGTCTGGTTGGTGCATCAAGAGCTGTGAAATGTGAGCAGGCGGCCTTCATGTCCCTCCAAATCTCAGCACCCACTGCATCCCTGCACATGTGCTGCATGAATCACAGGCACTTCTTGGCAGAGAGGTCAAGCTGCAAGCCAGAGACTCTGCAACACAAAAGATACGATCTGATAAAATAAATCAAGCCTGGTTTCATGGAAGAAGGGAAGCGAGTGGTGTCTGCACTCTTGGCTAAGAAAGGAAACTGGAGCACAGCAGCTTTAAGTGCCTCTAATGGGGGGAGGCTGCAGCTCAGCACTCTCCCAGGATGGTCGTTGCACCAAAAGCCATGAAAGGAGAAGCAGCAGCATGTTGTCCTGCCCTAGGATCATCCCAGCTTTATTCCTTCCAGAGGCAGCCAGCTCCCAGGTGCTCCCTGCAGCAGATGTGCAGCTCTGCAGATGCTGATGCAGGGGGTCCCTGTGCTGCTGGAACCCTTGGGGACACTGGGGACTAGCCCCAGCTGGGCAACACTGGGGTCTGTGCATGAGTGTTACCTGGTGGGGCTTACCTGAAACCTACAGCTGTGCATTCCCATCATCACTGGGAGGTGGTGGTTCTGTGCCAGCAGCAGGCACTGAAGCCAGGAGGAGGAAGAGTCCCTCTGGCCATGAAACAAGCCTTCAGCTGCTGGCATTGTTCCTCCAAGGCAAATATTGACAGTGACATTGTCTCTACGAGCAGTGAGTGAGAGCACTGCTGCTCCAACAGACCAACAGAGTGCTTTTCACAGATGTAAATAAAGCTTGTGTTGCAGGGGGCCTAAGTGCCTGGGCAGAGGGGTTCATTAAGAGCCCTTTGTCTGCAGTTTGCTTGCTCTGCTCCTCTGTAGGAGGAGCCCAAGGTGGGCACTGAGGAGGCAGGAGGAACAGAAGGTGTCTGTGGGTGCTGTACTGACTTCAGCAAGGCTCAACCATGTGAGAAGCATGGCAAAGCTCTCAAAGAGATCAGAAACCCTGCTGCAAGTGGGATGGCAGAGAAAAGCAGCTGCAGAGCAGAGGAGCAGTGGCTACACTGCTCTCCTCTCTCTTTAGCGCATTGTCACCACACAGCAGTCTGCTGCAGCTGCTGGAGAAGCACCCCAGTCCCATCCCACGGCCACCTGCGCTGGAGCTGAGCCCCATCCTGCAGCTGGGAGCTCACAGAATCAAAGCTGGGGGAGCCCTTGAATGCCTTTAGCAGACAGATCGAAAAACCAGAAGACCACACACTTCTGTGAGCCTGTCTGCTCCTAAAGAACCGCCGTGCAGAGTCAGACCTCCAGGGCATGGAAGCCAGGACAAAGCCTGCCCTGCACGTAGCACCCCGCACGCTTACCTTAACTGCTTCATTAAGCATGATGAGGGTTGAGTTTCAACTCAGGAAATAAGTGCAAAACGCCTGAGAGAGGAAAAGTGGGAGGGTAAGGAAGCCATAAAGGCAGACAATTCCCACAGATGTTCAACATCAATCCAGCCCACTCTTCTGTGCTCAGACATTAGAACTGTGACCACGCAGCTTTCTCCAGCTCAGGAAGCTTTATAAGGAGCACTACTTTAGCAAACAAACACTGCAGGGACACTGGCAGTCTTTACACATTTGCATCAAACTCAGAAAGAACAATGTGTGTCCTGAGTTCATTCTGTAAAATAAATAAAGCCTTTAATATGGTGAAGTTTGCAAACAAGACCCGTGGGCAGAATGTTTCACATAGTGCAAAAATTCAGGGACGAAGGAGAAAGGGATGAACCTCAGCCACGGGATGGAGAGCAGTTATTTGTGAGCCCCATCACCAGCTGTCCCCGCAGGGCTGGGGGAGCAGTGCCACCCAGAGGGCTCGTCCAGAACAGCTCTCCCCAGCACACAGCTCGGCAGCCACTTCTCCCCTTTTTATCTCAGATATCTCCACTTTCATTGCTCTGCTTCAGCTGCCACCCCTCCACCCAGAGACTCACCAAACAGCAAGCCCAGATTACAAAAGAAAAAAAAAAAAGCTCCAACAACTCTCAGGGCTAGAACATAAAAATAACATCTTTAATAGCTTTATAGTTGGCACAGATGGCATTTGAATTCACCACTTTTTATTAACAAACTATGAAACAACACATTGTGCAGTTCCAGAGAGGGCAGCTCAGACTGCATGTTGCTTTTAAACCATGTAGCTACAACAGGTTAGTGTTGGAGTTCACTCTTTTCATTTGCATTCAGCATTTATAGTCAGAAAGCAAAACCAACAGCTAGATTTGATTGCATACACAGAGGAAGCCTAGGAAGGATGTTTCTGCTGGCAACCAATGTCTCCTCTCAGCAGCACACAAAAACCCAGAGCACAGAGCTGTAACAGATTACATGAGACTTGCTGCAGTTACTGCTGGCCAAGCAGCCCCTGACATGGTGCAGAGCTTCTGCTCAGATCTTGAAGAAACAGTTACTAGAATGAGAGAGCCCTGTTTCCCTCTTGCAAGAGGGGTGAAGGCCAGACCAGCACTTCAAATACATGTAACCAATGGGAAAAGCCTGTAACATCCATCAGAAAGAACAAACACAAACACCAGCTGAAAAGATAGTCCCACACTTGTGATCTGCAACCAGAACATCAGGCCACAAACTCAAAACTCTGTTCTTTACCCATCCTCGTGTGCTTGTTATTCATCCTCTGTTTAAACGGATGCCATCTCTTCAGCACGTTCAGTGTCACCACGTGCTACAGTACCAAGCATTGCTCAATAGCAACCCCAGGCAAAGGAAACACTTACATGTCTCTCATGTAACTTGTTTAATGAACAATGTAGCCCTCAATGACAATATAATGACCAGCACTGCTGAGGAAACATCTTATCCAGGAGCAACTTCATCCTGACAAATATTGTTTGCTCAACCGACTTATCCAAAAGTCACTGTTCATGATGTGCCTGAAGTAGCCAAGATACTACAGTCATCTTCAACCTTAACCTCTCTTATCATTTTTGGTTATAGACATTTCCAGTTTCTATGGGTGCTCTCTAATAATCACAATAAATTACGAGGCGTTTCAGGCCTCTGTTCTGTTATGAGGAATTCCTTCCCCTGCCATGATTTGGTGCTGGCAAGGATGGAGGTAAGAATGCATAGTGAGGTCTCCTATCATCTGTCCATCTAATGACCCTATGCTGTTGAGGCCTCTGTTTTGCCTTTAGTTTCAGCAGGGGCCTTACCACCATCTGCCTTGTTGGAATAATCGCGCTCTCCAAAAATGGTGCTTCCGATCCTGACGTTTGTGGATCCAACCTCTATCTATGGAAGGAGGCAGAAAGAAGGAATTCAGCACAAGTAGGTGGCTAATCTCGATGCTCCCCATCTCACAGAAGGGCAGCTTCCTCTCTGACAGAGAAGGGGTGGCAGAAGGAAATGACTTACTGCATGCTGGAAGTCTGTGGACATGCCCATGCTCAGCTCCACCTTCTCAATGGGGAGATTCAGCTTTTCACACACTTCTTGACGCAAAGATAGCAGCACCTAGAAGGAAGAAAGAGAAAAATCACACATTTGGTGACATTTTGGACACGTTTTCAAGGTTTCATTCATCATGATTTCTGCTTTTTTTTTGAAGTCTCCCTAACACAGAAGGTGAAGGTCCCACACTCCTCTGATGCCTGCTCTGCAGCACTGGGAAGGCACCTGAAGACTTCCCACTGCAGGCTACGTTACTAACAATGCACACACAAGTCTACACATCCAGTTATGACAGATAAAGAATGCAGAACCAGTTCCCCTTCCTGATACAGCCCTATGCACAAGAGGCTGAAGGAAATATTATCTGAAAGCAGGACCAGAGGATTCAGAACAAAAACTGCTGCATAAAGTGCTCTGTTGATATTCCGGCTAAAGCTTGAGAAAAAAGATGGGACAAAAAATGCACACGCATCAGGCATCTGCAGAAATGAGCCCATCACTTTATTTAATACTGATACTTCAGAGGTCTGTACTACTCTGAACCAGGTCTGTGCTTCTACTGGCAATCTACAATCAGATTTACACCCTCAGTGTAATGGGAGGCCAGCCAACAATTGTCATTTTCTTCCAAAAATCTTACCTGGAAGTCAGGATTTGGCCCCTTGCTAAGGTCATGTCCAATGCTGCCAATTGTCATCAGCCCCACAAATTCCAGGCTTGGACACTTGTTGATAACATGCTCCACAGCAGCTGCAGTGTCTCTGGGAGGCAGGCCATGCTTACCTAGCAAAAAGTAGGGTGATCTGTGCCAAGTTCTGTGAGAGAACTTCCCCCACAGTCAGGCAGAAGCTAACTGATGGTTAAATATCATCTCAGCAGAGAAAAACTCCTTAAGAACACAAACCAACACATCCAGGTTGTTTCTTCTATCAAGTCAGCAGGACAGATCTGCACATCATCAGAAAAAGTGTCTGCCACTTACTGTCTTCTCCACTGGTGTTAACTTGCACCATGACTTTCAGCTTCTGAGGTGATCCTTTTTTCTGCCATGAGCTGTTGACTCTGTCTGCCAGTTTCACAGAATCCACTGTTTCCAACATGAACAGGTTAGGGACAGCTAGGGAGAAAACACAGAGGCTTCAAGCTGCCTGTGTAACACAAGAATAGTTGTTTACAGTTGTGCACAGCTAGTAGCAGAATATGGCAAGAGATAACAAAGTGAATCAGGACTGAAACACAGGGCAGCACCAGGTTCTTTCACTTGCTAATTGGTCTTCTTGCTAGCTTGCAATTATCAGAATTAATAGGTGATAAAGATGGTTATTATTTAAACACTGGGAGAATATTGCCCATGGGATACCACAAATAAAGATAAACAGAGCTCACCGACCAGCTTGTTGACATTACTTTTCTGCAGATGGCCAATAAAATGCCACTTGATCTCCGGACAAGAAGACAGAATCTGTAAGCAAAAGGAACAGGTAGGTTTGAATGAGGATTCCTCCTTCTTTCATGCAGTTATTAGGTCCTGCTTTACCCACAAACAAGATACCACACATCCCATACCAGTCTTCTTCTGTTTACTCTGAATAGCACAGCTCAGATAGCACTTGTGTGCACTGAGATGGCTTCACACTCTGGAGAGAAGCAGGGCTGAGGCAGCAAAAAGTTAATTGCAAGGTGAGTGGGAAAGGCTCTTTTGTAAGAGAACAATCACAAAACAAACTGCTTTCCCCAAAACAAAGATGTTACCATTTTAAAATGGGGACTGTGCCCATCCTAGGGCAGAGATCACGAGAGATAAAGTGCTGCTCAGACATTTTATGACTAAGGTGCATACATATATTCACAGGATACTCTGGAGCCTATAATGCAAGTAGGGGGAAGAGCGAAGAGGCACAGAGTTAAGAACAACCTTCAAAAAACATGGAGATTTCAGAAGTCGATCTAACAGCCTCCATCACCACCTCCCTACAAAAAGCCAGGACTTCTGCTGGACAGCCTTCAGGACACAGCTTTGTGAGGAGGAATAACACACGCACACACAAAAAAAGCACGCACTTACTCTGGAATCTGACGCCTTTTCTAACAGCTCCTGAACCTAGGAGAACACAAGAAGATCTACGTTAGGACCACACGGTGCTCCCTGGGCACACAGAACAGCCCGCACTCACGTAGTTCTCCCCAAAGCTGCGCTGCCCGTGGCTGTAGGCGTCCAGCACCATCTCCGCGGGTTTCGTCTTGCTGACGGCCACCAAACGCGGCTGCACGTCCGGGAGACCCTGCGGGAAGAACGCTCAGTACCAGGGTCGGCCCAGCAACCCCGCAGCCCCGCTCACACCGCGCTGCTTATGGCGGTAGGCCCGTTGCCATGGAAACGGGCGGGCCGCCCTCGCGAAGCGGGCTTGCCTCCGCAGCTCGCAGGCCTATCTCCGCACGCACAGCTTCTCACCCCGAGCCCAACCTCCTCAACCCTTCAGCAACCCTAACCTGCGGCCTCCTCGCTGCCGCCTGCTGCACCTGCTCGGTGACGGCCCGCAGCGCCGGTCCCAGCCCTTCCCCGGCGGCCATGCCCGCTCTCCACATCCCCTGCTGCCGCCGCGGCGACTTCCGCCACACACGCGTGACGTTCCCGCCCCCTCACGGCGGCCAATCGAGACGCGCCGTTGCCGTCGCCGACCAATGGCAGCGAGGGGCGGGAAAGCGGGGCCGCCATGTTGGGAAGGTTGGCGGCGCCATATTGGGAAGGTCATGGGCTTCATGGCGTAGGGTGCTGAGGGGAAGGTCAGGCGGCGAGGCCCGCAGCTCCCCAGGGCTTTAGAGGCTTTCTGCCGGCCTCTGGTGAAGCTTCCTGAACGCAGTGAGAAAGGAGTAAAGACCCGTGCTGTGCTCTCAGTTTGGTGTCTGCACATACCCTCAACACCACCCACAAATAAACCAAATCCTTGCCATCCACATCCAGAACAGCTCCTCCAGGGCACAGCTTTCAGCACTAAAAATAAGCAAATAAACCATAAAACGGGCTCCATCGCTCACCCCATAGGCCCTGTGTGAACCCAGGGCTGTGCCCACAGTTGTGGGGCTCACACAGGCAGTGCCAAGCTGTAGGCCATCAGCCAAAATATTTCCCTCATTCACAGACCTTGCCCTCCTCCAGCCCCTGTTTTGAGCACCAACAGTTTTTACACAGCTGCTCCCAAGAGCCTGGCAGGCAATTATTTCCTGCTAACTTCACTGCAAAACTTTTGTGATGGTGATTTTCTGATGTTCTGCAACTCCATACCCACCCACAGCTGAACTCCTGGTAATGCCTCCCTGCAAACCCACCCCCTCATCGTGTTAAAGGTCCATAAAACCAGACTGAGATTAAAATTGAAGGCCATTTTATTGTCATAGCAAGTATCAAAATAAAAAGGCTTTTAATTCAGTATTACAGATCCACAGCTGCACTGGTAAAGCATCACCGTGCCCCTGCCAACAGTTCCCAGGTATAGCAGTGCAAAACAGCAAACCTGTGCTTCTTTGTTAGACAGAGCTGTTTCAGCATTTAGATCTTCCTTTTGAGACTGCAAGATCATGGAGATGACAGAATGACAGCGAAAGAGATAAATGGGATAAAGGTTTACATGTAGGGTCACATCTACTCTGGAAAAATTAAGGAAATTATACATAGAATGAAGAACTCGAATGAAAAGCAAATGATCAACCCTGGCCTTTAAGGACTGGTACAATTTCAACTTTGTTCTTGCTTTTTTTTTTTTTTTTGTTAATCTGTTATTAGGTTAACTAAATTACTTGGTTTTCAGCGGTGCAGAGCCACAAAGGTTCCAAAATGTTTTAAAAATGCAAGTTTGGAATCAATAATACTGGCTACTCCTTCTATTCTTCCTCTTCCTCTGAGAAATACTTCAGCAGTAATGTTTTCAATTTAAAATCCATAAGACCTACTTATTCCAAGCTATTGTTTTACTCAATACAAAACTCATACAAAAACATCCTTTGTAATACCATTTGGTTTATTTGTGTCCCCTCATTAGTGAAAACACTTTTGTAAAAAAGTAGGTTTTACTTACTAATGGAAAACCTTCACATGAATGCAAAATAACGCCAAACAAATGAGATCACCCTAAAAGTTTAGGTACTATTACCTCACCCCTACATTTCTGCTGTTCTCTGTTCAACATCTTGCAGAGACCTATTTAGAAAAGTGAGCAATATTACAGCCTACCTCTCAATGCAGTTTTTATGACCACTGTGCTGTCAGTCCGGGGATGGAACTATCCTTAGCTTAAGATTTTCCAGCAAATACAAAGATTACATAAAGGAGATGGGACTTTTCTCCAGCAGAAACTGACAATCTCTTTTATTTTGCATTTTCAAGTATCAACTGTAATTCTTCTAACAGGGAAAATAAAACTGAAATGAAAATACTGGAACAAGCAGCAGAAATTAATGAGATTTCTATCTTAGTGTGAATTACTTATTTAAAATGATTAATGCATTAAAAACACTGAAATGTGAAACCAAGCTTAGTAAGCAGCAAGCATTTGGGGCAAAAGATCATAAATTCGACAGGTTGGTCCTGACCAACTTAGTGCTTATGCTTTCATTATCTTATAAGGATGCATTGGCTGCAAATTATAACAGCAATTAATAAGCAGGCTCTCCTGCCAAGTGGCAGATGGATTTAGGGGGAGAGGAAAAAAAAAAGTTTTCTAGCCCTGAACTTTTGCCTTTAACACCCCCTCAAGTTTTGCAAATGTAAAACAAAAGACATGTTACCTCTTTGCATCTGGTAAGTAAAAAACGAGTCAGTTTTCTGAAATGAAAGGTGCATCATATCTCACTGTTCTGAGCAAAGAATGAACATGTCTCTTTGAACAGCCCAGAGAGAAGAGGCTGTCATTTTTGCCCTGTGATTTTTTTTTTCAAAACAGTGCTTTGAGTCTATTGCTCCTAGGAGATCTTCCTCTCAAGGACCATTCTGAAAAAAATCACCCAGGTACAAGGTTCCATTCATTTCAGCTTCTCTGAACATCTTCAAATACAACACTGCAAACACTGAAATTCCATTGGTCTCACAGACCAGCAGAGGTACTGCAGTGACTGTGGGATGAATCATTCAAGCAGTTTTTCACTAGCAAGGCTTTTTGCAAGGTCAGGGTCCCTGAGACAAAAACTGCATTCTCTCTCCTTTTTTCTGACTATGACAACTGTGACAAGTACTGTGCTTGCAGCCTGGTTTCACCAAAAGTTAAGTTCAATTAGCCAGTGGCAGGCACTGCCTCCACCAGCACATCTAAGCCCCTCAACCAGCAGATAAACACAAACTCCCCTCTGCTCTCCCCAAATATGACAAATGGAAAAGAAACCAGTGTTAAAATGCAGAAAATGAGTAGTTTGGGCCACTACCTGTGTGACAGGTGGTCTAAGGCTTACATCTCCCCCAGGGTAACCTGCAACACTTCAGCTGAAGTGCTGTACCTCACTGTGCATGTGGTTTCAACTGCACTACTGAAAAAACACTTTGGCTCAGACCTCAGTAAATGGTAGTTTCATGTATTTGCTACACCTTTGCAGGCAGGATGGACCTGGAGTGAACACATGGGCTGTTAGTCCCAGTGCTCCAGGCAGTGACCCACCATCTGAGCAAAGCCTTCAAGCAGACATGGGTAGTGTACAAAAAGTCTAGCACCTTTTTAAATTTTTTTTTTTCTTCTTCTCAAAGGGTGTTTGTTTGAATTAAGTAGTAGAAATTTCCAACTAGAAAATAAAAGGTCATAGCAGCAATCCCCCTCCTGCCAAAATCTCAAAACTTCCAACTGCTACCAACAACCTCAATTCAAAACTAATTAACCATCTAAGCTGGCTGCAGAACAGATAGCCTAGCTAGCCTCTCTGGAATCACTGGGTTTATTAGCCCATGAGAAGGGAGAGGTGCATCTAGCAGACACATCTGGAGCAGATTACTTAGCAGTTACCAGAAACAACACTCCATAAATACCAAATCATTGTGTCTAATTGTCATACAAAAGATTGAGAGGATTAAATTTTATCTCTTTCAGTACAGGAAAAGGGGAAAACGAAAAGGAACTTCCCAGTTCATGTTTCTTTTGATATAAAACAAATATAAATGTTTCTTTTCAGTTGGTGTTATGAAGCAGTTTTGTGTCCTCACTGGGTCCTGCCCCATCCTCTTCATGGATCCCTTCTGCCAGTCCCTCCGCAAATTTACTCTGGCTACCTGCATAGTCCATGAACATGTTGGGAATATCTTTGCCAAAATAGATCTTGCTGTTTGCTGCAATAGCCTTGTATTTCATCAGCTGCAAGTACTCGGGAGTTAACTTCAGCTGCACAAAAAGAAAACAGATCACCAACAGCTCAGACTCATTCAAAAGCACAGGAGGCATCTACCTTTCCAGAACACTAGTGGGCATGCTCATCCTCTCTCCAGCTGGAGTACCCTGAAGAATGCTCTCTTTCAGCACGTCTAAGCAAAGCTCTAAGTCCCAGTGACTGAATGGCAAAATGAGAAAGTGATGGAAGCAGCTGGGGAAATGTTCAGTCCAAACGTGCCACAGAGATGGAGATGCTCTGAAGCACATAACTCACTGAAAGCTCTCACAATGTAAGCTACTAGAACTGCCTTTTTTCCCCCACAGAGTGGATTAAAGAGTGTGTTTCACAAGGCAGAGATCACTCTTTCAGGATAATGACATTATAAAAGAGTGAACAGAATATCTAACTGGAACAGAACTTGTGCACAACCATCTCAGACCCTCTGACCATTTCTACTGACCCTTACAACACAGGAAGTCTTCCTGCTGGGATGTCCTGGGAACCTGATGTAGACAGTAACGAGTCCAGCAGTTGCATCCATGTAATTTCTGTCTCTAGGGTTTTGTTTTTTGCAGGAACAAGGCTTTGCCAGGCTAATTAGTTTGGTGAATAACATCTCCATTTGTTCTTTACCTGAATACTTGTTTACTTTAAGCCTGCCACTCTGCAGATCTCCCCCTGCCTGGGTGACTTGCTAGCTTGCAGACTGAAATGGATCAACATGTCTCATTACAGCAGCATGAAAGGGCAACACTGAAAGTGATATTCTTTCTACAGTGGGAGTCATGGCCCCATTAGCATCTACCAGATCTGGCTCCAGACATAAACCAGATATTTCACGTACCCTGACACAAATTCATCTGTTCAGAGCAGAAAGTGAATTTGCAAGTAAGGATATAATTATTGTTTCAGTCTCAAAGATAACTTCTCTGTCTTTGTTTTGCTTTTTGACCAAAACAACAAGACACGATGAGCAAGCAGTAAAGACAGACTGCTCTTCTGCTGAGTATTTTTATACAGCCTAATGTTAGGAGCTCTGCTTCAAGGCACAGCATAAGGAAGTAATACCTTGTTAGCTTCGGCTACTTTCATAGCTGTATAGCATTCAGCATCAGCTCTTGCCTTCTCTCTTGCAAGAAACGCAGCATCTGGAAGAAAACATATGCTCCCATATTCAGATTTTTATTTCCAGTCACGTTAGCACCACTTACAGCTGGAAGATTTTTAAAGCAGCAAGTACCACATCTGAACTGTCAGGGATACAACAAGGGGAAGAGGGAACAAA